AAACATCTATCGTCCTTATCTCCCCTTCTTCTTTTTTATGTTTGTTACTCTCTTGTAACACCTCTAATCTTCTGGCGCTCATATGACCTTATGCACTTGCGAGCGCCGTAAAACCTCTACTAAAACTGAAACTGAAAACCGTTTAAAGATAAATGCGTACGTCTCATTTTATTTTTACTCATTTTGTAATGGTCAAACGGGGTCGCTAATCTTTCCGGCACCCAGCAACAGAATCGGGACTTTTACTAGTGTGTGAAAGTAACTGTTATACTCTCTTGTATTGTTGGACAAAGTTTTATACTCAAGACATCATGTATCAGTCTGATCTTGAATTCTTTACCCATAAGTTTAAAAAAATACTTCGGCCACACCAATAGCTCCTTTGACATTTTATTATGCTTGACTATGCTGCAGATGGCCCTGATCTGAATTTTAGCAGGGTTTTCTAGAACTTTGGTTGTGCAGGGAGTTTTTAAGGCTCTCTACACTCTCTACACGCTTGGCTTGGTCCTGTTGAATATGGATGATATATATTTAGAACTTTATTTAAAAGCAACCCAGGCTGGGCTACCTTTTGTGACTTAAAGGTTTCTGAGGGCCTAGATACTTAACTGCAACCAGTTCTGAAAAAATATGTACTTTTTTGAGAGTCAAGAGTAAGGGTGCCCATTTTTGTTTCAGAAAACAAGTTTCCTGTTTTCTCATATTGCTCCTCACTTACTTGCCAATGCTGAAGCAAGACTTGATTTGCAAATAATAAAGAGAATGAAGCCCGAAAGTAAATTGATGGGAGTTTTACTAAACATTTCAGACATTATTGGTGCAGGTCTGTTTTGAATAACATGAACGTAAATTAAATGCTGAAAAATGTGTGTGAAAGGTTTGGCTGACGAGTGGGGGTTACTTGTCTTATGCTCACCATCTTGATCGGCCATTTGAGCAGAGTCTAATTATTTTGGCCTTGAAAAGTTGGCAGCTGTGTGGATATTATTGCGCTGAATTTGTCAAACCGGTTTCTGCTCTGTCTGTAGGAGAGGCTGGGCCTGTCTCAGGCAGCTGTTCTCTGTTTGTGGCGCCCGGGGAAATCGTCTGAGGACGCGGCGTCTATGGATTCTTCCGTCTTCCTCGTGTCACCAGAGAGTTTTGCCCTGGCGACGATCACCGACACTCCCCGAGGGAAGCCGCCGATCAGGATGCGGCTGAAAGGAAACATTCCTCTCACAATTTCCACAGAGTCTAAAGGCGGTAAGAGGCACATGGCATTGGAAGGTTGGAGGGGGTTTGCTGTTTTTATAGTTGAAGACCTGAAGAGAGTGACGATGTTCAGTACTGAAGAGTAGGTTTGACTGCTAGTTTCCAAAGTATCCATGCTAGTATTTCTGCGGCCATTGAAGAAGTTAACTGTGTGGTGATTGTTACATTTTAAACATCAAGGAGAAATTGTACAAAAAGAAGATTAATGTTTCACTTAATCCTTTGAAAAAGTATATGTAAACCTTGCTTTATTAGAAAGACAGTGTGTTTGAAAGTTTTAGTTCAAGTAACTTTTCAGTATAAAAATTCTAGGTTCTACATTCACAGTATAAATCTTCTAAGATAGTAGCTGCCTAAAGTTCCAAAACTATTTAGAAGAAATAAAAATTGCTGCATAACTAACACCATTTGTAGTGTGGCTTGAAGGATTGGATGGCCAACAGTTATGTGCTTGTAAACTCTACCTGGATAAAGAAAGGAAATAAAAAAGTATTGCGTGAACTTTTTTTTTTTAACCTAGGGCAACTTGGGGG